CTGCTAGCAGCCAGTTAACACTGTCTGCGAAAGGACTGTCAGAACAGGGTGATCCTTCACCCTAGAGTCAATGCAGAGTTATAGCTTTACAGTGAGCAGGGTGTAATATGGGTATGGGGGGCTGTCTACTTGTCAGGCTCTGGCTCAGTGAAGATATAAGTGAGCACAGTCCACTGGAAGACAGGTAGCTGTGGTTAGAAAATGCTGTGCATAGATTAATAAGCCCTGCTGTGAGGCAAAGATATATTTACTCTGGAAGGAAGCCGTGCTGCTGCATAGTCATTGCTTCTGACCAGGTCAGAGTGGGAATAAATTGAACTTGTGAAGGACTGTGTACAAACACCTGTAGGTTTATGGTATTCCCAAAGGTAGGAGAGTAACTTCACTTTTTGTCTGGCCTGTGTGTCTGAAAATGAAGGAGAAAGGTCTGGCGGGCTTGGAGGACTGCTTGTGGAAATAGGCCTCCATTTACCACAGGCATCTGTGTTATATAGTCATTTCCCTCAGTAGGGATGGTAGCACAGATGCTGTGATGTAGGAGAAAGTCACACCACAATGTGTGGGACAGTGCTGAATGCTGAACTCATTAGCGTCTCACTTGACTGACGGGTGCTTTAGGTGCTGGAACAAGCACAGTTCAAGCCAGAGAGCTCTTTTCTGTACTACATGCACATAGCTGTCTGGAGCCATCATTATGTCTTAACTAGCAAGTCAAAGTCTAGTCACACAAAATATTTTTCACACATAGAAGGCACATTACCTTTAAGCTGCCAATCACGCCACCCACCAACAGATATAATGGAATTAGTGGCTGAACTGGGCAATCTTCCAAAAACTTCATTCCTGAACAGCAAAAATTAATAATGTTTGTTATCTCAAGTGATCAAATAGTGCAACAAGCTGTACAGTGAAATGTCGCGCTTAGACCCAAGACTCATATCTGGCGTCTATTGAAATGGGAGCTAAATTAAAGGGGGTTTTGCATCTCCCGCTACAGGAGTAAGGGCCATGAACAAGCAAAAGGCAGGAGAAGAAAGAGAGAGAGCAAAGGTAACAGCAGCATTACTGTTCTTCTGGCGTTACCGATCTGAGCCGCATACACAGGTCATCAGCTTCAGCCACTCTGTCTTTGTTAAATGAATGATTGACTGAGCTGGACAGGAAATTTTCATCAGCAGTACAAAATTCATTGAAAATCAAAACCCTTTGTGAAAAGAAGGGATTCTGATAAGCTTCTCTCAGGCCTTTCCTGCTCCTTGGCACCTGTGTGTGGCATGTTCCCGAGCCAAATGCCTCAAAGCTTGGGAGCCAGCACCCATGGGAGCTCCTGGAACCTTTTTAGCTTCCCAGGCAGCTGACAGGGAACCACAGAAGCTCAAGTTTCCAGGCTGTTTGGGTTGCTGGAGGCTAAAAGCATTGGTTGTTATGGAGCCGGGGATCCTGGCAACCCTCAAACCTACTGCTAGAAAGAGAAAGCTGGGTATGTTTTAGGGAAGGGAGTGTATGGCAGTGTAAGGATGTTGCTGGCAGTAGACACCAAAGCTTGTGATACAGGTCTGTGGCAGTGAGACTCATCTGTCCAAATATAGATGTCTGCAATGCAGGCATCCATATCTGAACTAGTTTCCTAGCCTCTCTTTATAGTCAATAGGGAGAAATAGACACTTGTAAAATTCAATTCATCTCATCCTAAGATAGGCATTTAAAATAGGTCAGATGAGCTTGGCCCTGAAAGTGCCTCTTTCTCTCTGTGGCTATACAAGGAATCTAGACAGACAGCTGTAGATATCTAAAGTAAGCCGAGATGAATCCCCGTCCCAAGTCTCCGACCCATCTTTAGTCAATTTCAAACTGTTTATTACACTATAATTTTATTGTTATTGATCCCATGTTTCAGGGCTTCTGATGGTCAGTTGTAGAGGCCGGAAAGGATTTTCTGTTTTCTTCTCTGTGTATAAGTTGCTTTCAAGGAGAAGTTTTTACTTTTCTCTGAACAACTGGGGTTATCTAGATGCAAGATGCTGAAAGCAACGTGCTGGTCTTAGTGCTAAACATCTCTCAGGTGGAACATCTTGACTCCATGTTCAGAACTACACTGAACAGGGGGCTTGGGATCAGGAAAGAAGTACCAGTGGGGTGCTTTTGCCTTCTTCTGTAGCTGTAATCCTCTTCAGCTTGTCAATGTGCCCACCAAACCCACTGCTGTTGCTGGGCCATAGCATTGCTAATGTCCAGAATCTCTCATGCACTTCTTAATACAGGTGTTCTGGATTGTGGTTGCTTGCTGTAGCTCTTATGTTAGTCATAGGATGCTGGGCAGTGTTTTGTAATCATCTGCTGTGTTTAAGGGCTGTGGAGTCCAGTAGACTCTTTTACACTGAGTATTTCTGACCAGCCTTCTTGTAATTGAAAAGGGCTGGACGTAGATGGATTTGGATTCTCTCCCTTTTTGTCCCCTATTGCAAGGCTGTAATTTTGTGCCCATTTTGCCACTATGTAACTCTGAGACCTTCTCAGACTCCCAGCTTTACAGGGGTGGGCAGCAGGGAAATCGTCATGAATTATATCATTTTCAGAAAGCAGCTTCCAGGGTTTCTAGAGTCCTTGGCCCTGTAATAGCCTGCCACAAAAGCAGCTGGCCAGGGATCTCAGGGAATATATTTCAATTTAAGAACCTAAGCAATTGCTATTTCCAGTGTGTTACTGAGATTTTGATTTGAGGCCAAAAAAAAAATATCAAGAAAATATGCCAATTCTTTTTTTCATGGAGCTATGATTCTGTTTCTCTGACAAATCTATTATGGAGTCCTTTCATATATGTAACATGACAGCAGTCAGTCTTGGGAAGGATTTGAGTGACAGGCAGTGGAACTCTGCAGTTTTGGGGAGAATATTCCAGGCAAATATGACAGTAAAAGAGGAGGAGAAAGGGGGTAATACAGTGGTAAGTTAAAAAATACAGTGCTGTGGGTGAATAGGAAATATGGACCTAACTGTTGACAGATGGGCATTGACACTTGTTACAGTGAAATCTAGGCACACGCATCATGTGCCGATCAATTCACACACAGCACATGCCTGATTTATTTGGGAACACCAAAATGGGTAGAACAGCATCGGTGCTAGCGCTTCTTTCCCATGGGCATCAGCCATGTTCTCCTTTCACTGTTAATGATGGAATATGTGGACCATGAGAGATCAAAACTCCGCTCCTGGTGTGATGCTCCCTGCAAGCCAGAGCAATCTGTGGTTTAGAGCAAAGAGCAATCGAACCTGACCACAACACAGACCAGCATGTGAGTCCAAATGAATAAACCATCAACCTTTGCAAGACCAGACACAGCAAGAATGTCCAACAGCTTGCACAGTGTCTAAAGGAAAAAAAGAGGGGGGAGGCTTGGGGACAGCAGAGGTACTTGCACATTTTACCTCTTGGCTACCACAGAGCAACACTGCACTGTGATCCAGGACACAAAGTCCAGGCAAGTGGAAAGAGCACTTGTGAGCGATCAAGATATGAGCAATGCCTGCTTCTCTAAGGACACGGGTTTGGGCAGGGTTGTGGGATGGCCTGCAATGGGTCATTACTAACAAACTATCCCTCTGACTCATGATTATCCATGAGACAAGGGGTCAGGAGGAATGAAAGCTAATGCAGTGGTGGCCTCATTTTAGCTGCTTTGCTTTTGTCAGGCAGCTGAATGGCTGAAGTGCATCCCATAGTAAAGGAGGGCTGCTGAATAGCAAGGCAAATCTGGTGCCTGGTGCCCACTCCCCACCTTCTCTTCTAATAGGAGACAGAGGACACAGCATGCCAGGCCATTTTCATTTGCTCCTAGGGGATGACTGCAGCTGCCATCACTTAGTGCAGACCTCGGTCAGGCCCTAGACTGTGAGCTTTACACTAGGATCTAGGTGCTGCAGAGGATTTATCTCAAAGTAATTGCTTCTGGGCACCATTTTATCAGAAAGCATATCAGCAAGTCAGAGGAAACTCACAGAAAAGGTGAGTGGCCGAAGGACTGAAATGCAAGGAAAGCTTATGTTAACAACAACCGTTAAAAGAACAAGACTGGCTCCCACATAAAGGTACAGAGCATGAGAACAGGCTTCAGACAACTATTGGGAGCATTTGAGAGCCAAGGAATTATTTGGTGTAGATATGAGCATGAGGAGTAGTACTGGGTTAAAATGAACAGGGAAAAATTTAGACTGCCTATTGAGAAAACGATGTCATCAGCTTTCAAATGTGATTTAGCTACCCCTGGGGAACACTGTGTATATAGGTAGTCTGGACAACGTACAAGAATGTGTTATTGGGAGCAATCCTTCACTGTCCCAGAAACAAAAAAAAAAATTCTCAAAAAAAGGTCTATGAGGTCATTCCGTAGTGCACTCTATTTTTGGAGTGTTTGGTGAAAAGCAAGTATCATCGCTACCAGTAAAATTTAGGAAGCTGCTAAACAATCCGTGGCTTAAATGATGTCACAAGTCTGGAGCTTGGACAATTTGCTGTGTCCTTTTCATGCATCTTGACTTACACTGTGGTTGACAGTACTACCAAATTTTAAATGTGCATAATGTTAGTGTGTAATTAGTACTGGGGCTACCATTTATTCATCTCTGAGTTTTAACAAGTATTATTATAAATTTGTTAACATTTGAAAATATCTCACACTTTTCCTCTGCAGAAAGCAAGAGCCAGAATGACTGGAGGCACATCAGCAAGTTATTCTCCAAGATCACGATAACAGAATGTTATCAGAAAATCAGAGGCTTTTGCTTGGATAATAAATATCTGCATTTTCCTTGACATTTGATTTTCCTGAAAATGCCTTTGCAGATATGTAGCTGCAGGAAACCAATATCCTCTGACAACACTATATTACAGCGACATTATCTCTTAATTTCAGTAAGTTGTGAAAAAAAAAAGGGGCTCTATATCTGATGCAAGAGATACCCAGAGCTCCAGGCTAATATCTTACCATACACTTTCCACTTCTCACTGATGTTAAAGATATTGTGAAATATTTCTTGGAAATTATAAGTGGTCAGATTCCAGCCCTGGATTCATTTCCAGAAGGCTGGCAGTTGATGTGCATGCAAGCTGCACCGCACTTTGAATTATACCTTCCCACCCCTATTCCACAGCTCAGACGTATTCAGCCTGGGGAAAAGCTAAAGCTAAAATCCTCTTACGTGATAAATAGCAATTTTAAGTCATGGATAAGCAGAAGAGCCTAAGTGTTGAGATGTAACAGTTCAGTCCATCTCTCTGCTTCCTAATTGCTCCTTAATCCCTTATTAGAACTCCCTAATTCCTAATTAGGATGCCCTAATCAGAATCCTACCACAGTCATCACTGGTGCTCTGAAGGCCCCAGATAAAGGAAGCAGCACCAACCATTAGCTGAACAAGGGGTTTGTGGGTTTGGCCAACTGTAGATGCCAACAGGCTAGGTGTCCCGACTCCCTTAAAAGTCATCCTATCTTAATGCCTAAAAGAGGGCATGGGATTTTCACTGTCAGGAACACCCGCTTCTCTTAACTGGCTCCTGGGGCAACACATGCCTTGGTTACAGATGCGTGCGGTCCAAATCTAGGTGGGATGCATCTTTTCCACAGTATCTGCATGTAGAGTTCATTTGCACCATCTTTCATTTCATCATCAGGCAGAAGGTGAACAACTTCTCAAGGGCACCCACCTGGAATGATTGTGAGGGCTCTCGAGGACATGACTTAAAATTCAAAATGATCGGAATACACTGGAAAAAGACATTCAAAATCTATGAGATGACAGCCAATAAAGCTGAACACTGAGTATAGGAGAGAAAACTTCAATGTAAATAAAAAAAGAGAAATGTCTGATAGGGAGCAGCACTGCCAAAAACCATCTGGGCTTACAATGCACCATAAACTAACTTGGAACCAATGAGTTGGTGCAGAAAGAGCATCTTTCATTCTGAGGTGCATTTACAGGAATCCTGCATGTTAAACAGAGGAGCTAATTATTTGGCACTGCTCATTTCTTAGGTCTCAGCTGGAGTCCTGTGTTCCGTCTTTTTTTTTTCTGAGGGGAAAAAAAAATAGTTACATTGGCTAGAGGCCAAAGGAGAGAGGCAAAAATGCAAAAAAAAAAAAAAAAAAAAAAGGCAAAAAAAAAAAAAGCTAGAGAAACAGTGACCTGTGAGGTCAGGTTGAAAGAAGTAGAGGGTTTTGAGATCTCTGGAAAAAAACGAGATGGAATGGGATTATAATAGCAGCTTTCAAACAGTTCAAAGGTTCTCTTGAGTAGGACGGTGACCAATCTATCTTTGTGACCACGGTGTGCAGGACAGGCTGTAATCTGTTTAATTTGCCACAGGGAAGATTTAGGTTGGATAGAGGGAAAAATATTTTGTCTGTGAGAGCAATAAAATGCTGAAATAGGCTCCTTGGGAAGCTGTGGAATTTCCTTGAGCAAGGGCAAGGCGGACATCTGTCAGGGATGCCGTGAGCATGCGAGCCTGTCTGAGAGCAGAGGTGGGCTGGTGTCTCTACTAATGTTTCTCAAGCAATCCCTGTGAAGGATGTGAAAGGCCCAAAGGGAGCAATGAAGTATTAGAAAATTCTCAGTTTTTTAAAACAAAACAAAAAAAATTATGTTAATAGTAAGGAAAATGTGATGCTTAAGAAAGAAAAGAAGAGCCTTATGCAGTTTGAAAATGTATAAAATCCTGCAGCTCAAAGGATTTTCTTTTCCGTTTTTAAATATTTGATCTTGAAATGCTACTCGCAAATCCAGCCTTTGGGGGGTTACAGAGAGACAGATCAGCCAAAAACCAGGTCTCACTTTCAAAAAGGTAGAGAAATAGCAGCCTGGATGATCTCTTCTTCCCTTCCAGCCCTACGCTTCTAAGATTTTGGCGTTAATACAGAGGGATCCTGATTAATGAAATCTTCTCATGTGTCGGATTCTGAGCTTCCTCCCACAGACAGAGCCAAAACACCCACAGCCCTTTGCCAGGTGCTGGTAGGCTAAGCAGCAATTGAGCTGAAGTAAATATGCCAGTATAAAAGTGAGTTAAAATTGGTCTGAGGCTCAGAATATGCCAGCAGCTACATGGTAAAAAGAAATAATGGGAAGTGCAACCAAAATAAGCAATGCACAATCAGAAAATTCAGAGTTATGGTTAAATTTAAAGAAACCCAAACCATCAGAGGTACAAAAAATGTATCGGTAGTATCTCCAAGTACCCTGCCTCCCACCCTCTATTGAGGTGAGACACGCTTGGGGGGGTATTTAAGACAAATGAGGTCAGAATTCAAGCACTGCTTCCTCCCCACCGTGCAGCATGGGTTGGGGTTCTGTCTGAAGCTAAAATACCAATGTACAGGTTTAACAGCTGGAAACTTTAAAAACCTTAAAGTTTCTCCTGCAAGATGCGTTAACCTGCCACACGGTGCTGGGAAATTTGTGTTTTTAAATTGCTTTAGTAGCCAGCTTACCTGTAAAAGTCATGGACAGTGGTAAGGCAAGGAAAGCGAGGAGCCCAAAGATAAAGCACGCTGTGAGTGAGAAAAGAAAGACTGTTAGTGAGGCTGGTTGAAGTTGAGAGACCTGCAGCTCCATCCAGTGCTTTACAGATGCTCTTTACCCATAAAGTTTTGCAGCAAGGAAGGCAGTGCACTCCACAGGGTGGGAAAATCGTGTTTCTGTTGCAGCACATGCGATGACGAGAGCAGTGAGAGGTTTATCACTCTCTCAGAGCTCAAGCTTCCATTTTTTAACTCCTACATTGTGAGTCCCTGTATCAGTAGGAAAGCCATGAGAGACAGCTGCTTTTGTTGCTACTACTTTTAGCTGTCTTATTGCAAGGGCAAGGACTCAGCCGCTGCTGCCATCGCCTGCATCAGCTTCAGAGGCACTGCCAGGTGACTGCGCAGTAACAAGTAACTTTGCATCAGCTAATCCATGGCAACTGATGAGCCGTATCTGTTTGCTAAGCAAATAGCAGCTTTAATGCCATTCCACTCAGTTTTCACTGATAGCTAAATAAACTGTCTTTATGGCAGACGTGAGTAGTTTCTGGCTGTGGTCTAACTCCCTGACCCAGCTCAGCTCATGAGCACAAAAGCAGCAGCCCTGCTGCAAGGAGTGGGTTTTGTCGTTGGGATAGGTCAGCTTAAGCTGCATGGAAGGATGCTCTTAGGTGTGCACATAGACTGTCCCTGCGGATGAGTGGATCTGAGGTGCTTAGTGGCTCCCCAGAGAGCTGCTGGCGTATCTGAGCCCTGATATTTTCCCAGCACAGCCTGATGCTGCAGAGGATGAATGCTTACCTCTGCAGAAAGTGAGGAACAACAGCGTCAAGAGCAGTGTGAGCAGCCTGTCTTACAAGAGCCATCACCTCTGTGCCTAATCATGAACACTTGGCAATATTGAAGTGAAACGCTGCCCTACAAAATGAGAGTGAAACGTAATGAGGACATTCTGTGGCGAGCGTCCCCGCAGAGCGCTTCTGCAAATGGCTCAGTCTGCAAGTAGATGCCTAAGGAGGCAAAAGGGTGGTAAGCAGAGGTGGGCGTAGATTGCAGAGGGGCTGAGAAGGGCATGGGTAAGAAAAGGAGTAGGATGTCTCCTTGGAGGCTTACGAAAAAGATCTCAGAGCAAGCATTCGGGGTTGGTTTGGGACCAGCCCTTCCCCAAGCAAACTGTGTCACACGGTTGCCCGTGCCAGAGAACTGCAACCTCTGCAAGGCGAATCCTGTCCTCCTCGCCGCGCAGGAGCGGGGACGCTGCCAGCCACCCTGCCTACAGTGCTACTCTGGGAAACCCTGCAGCCCTGCCAAAACATCTCCCTCAGGGCGCCTGAGAGAAAAAGGCAAACATCGGTGCCTCCATTTTACAGAAGGAGAAACTGAGACAGAGGACATAGGAGCGGCATCAAAATTCAGGGCAGATCCACCAGGCTTTCTGACTCGCAGACACTTTGCATGGGAACACACCATCCCCCACACGCTGCTCGGGTTTTTCTCAGCAGAGAATGAGGATCTTGCACTTCAGCGCTTGAGAGACATCTTTCTTTCTCAGAAGTAGCATGTTTATTATCTCTATGAATTGGTAGAGACTGAAGATATTTTGAGCTGAAGAAAGCACTTTGTTCCTTAGTGCCACCCCCTCCTCCTCTCCCCGTCGGCCGCTCTCTCTCCCTCTCTCACACACACATTTTTGCTCAGGGTCTCCTATCTCTTGAATGCTGCACTGTACAGAAATTCTCCGTCTGCTTGAATAGTGTCCTACACTTGACTAAGCTCTTTCAAATGCTGACAGCCTCTCATTAGAACAACTCAGCCTAGAGCCTCCCTTTTCACCACATGTCACATTTCTTGCGAGGTCCTCTTGCTGTTACATTATCTAGACTATCATTTTCATATTTGGAAGAGATGTTATTGCAGCTGAGTTCAGCTTCCAACACACCCATGAACATCACCTGCAAACAGTGCCCACGGGCACTGGGCAACTCGTTGATCTGGTATCCGAATGAACGTAGGTCGGGTGTGCAGGAGTTGCATCGACGGCCTGGTGTTGCCAGAAGTCTTGTGTCACCGCGGCACAGCTCTCAGAGCGGCGTCACCCCTCTGCCTGTGGTGCCATTACCCACCTCTTGTTTCTGCCCTTGCTGCACGGGCAAATACTTGGGAGCCTGGTTTGGAGGAGGCTTCATGTCAGTTCTTCATCATGCAGCACGTGGTCCATCTGACCCCCAGGGAGGGACACTGCTCTAAGCTCTGTAAAGGGCTCGGAGGCCCCCATGCCTATGTGGGGCTGCGCATTTGGCACACAGGTGTTTGCTTGTGTCTAGCATCTACCCGATAGCTTGATTTTGGAGAAGCAAAATGGGAGGTAGGGACCACTCGCAGCTCAAGAGAAAAAGATAATGGCTCATTAATTCCCCTCCCAAAGCAGTCGCTGGGAATGTATTTACTCATTATCTCCCCATTCAGCTACAGGCTCTTAGGTCTCGAATTGGAGGGGCAGATGCATAGTCTGGGAAGGCTTCCAGATCCATGTTTAACAAAGTGAGACTCTCAACAATTGACTATACAACTGGCAGGGCTCTGCAGCCGCTCGCAGTGCCGCTAGCAGCAGTAAAGACTGTTTTCCCCGAAACATGTGGGGTTTTCACAGAAATGCTGCTCAGCTGGGACACACACACTCTCTGCCTGGATTTGTCTGGGTTGTGCTGCCCCGTTCTGGTCCAAAGACAAATTGCTGAAGAAATCGCTATTTGCCGCAGGGTAGCACAGCTCTGCGGAGAGGACGCTGCTATCTGTGCAGTTTCACATGCGGGGCTTGTGATGTTTTTAAGTCAGTAACGTCACCTCACAGGCTGGTCAGAGAAGCCCCTTGGACCCCTTGCTAGAAAAAGTCACAAAAAAAGGGGCTGGTAGTCTCTAAAAACACAGTGTGAGGAGGGAAGTGTTGCCGGGCATGGCTCAGAAGGACATCAGCTCCACAGAGCTGGTGTCAGGGCACCGGGCAGGAGAGCCCCGGTTCTGTACTGCCTGTGGTGGGGGCACTGGTGAGGTCCTGCTTTGGGAGGCATTAGCGAGCAAATCCCCATGTGCCAGGAAATGGGTGAAGGGAAGAGCTCGTGGCTGGGATCACAGCAGAGGAAGAGGAGAGCAAGCGGCTGTATATCTTGCACATTCCTTGAAATCTCTGGGCACAAAAATCAAATCGGTGGGTGCAGATTTTGTGTCTCCTGCCTGGCAGGATGGTTGGCTGATATAAATCTGCCATTTAGCTGAGCTACTCCTGCCAGGGTCTCCCCACACTCTTCCACGGCATAGACGTAAAGAAACTTGAAATCACCATGAGCATTATGGCTGTACATCATGGTTTCTCTTTCTATCTGACTCCTGAGCTGCTCCGTCTCCCGTCGCAATGCCTCTGTACTGCAGTTCTCCTCCCCTCCCTCTGCTACCCCCTTGCTCCCCATCCCCAGTTATGTGCCTGGCATCAGGGCATGCAGCAGATGAGTTCTCCTCTGGCATGTGGGATGGATCTGGAGGCAGTATTGGACGTTACACCAATTCACCTGTGGGCTCCTCAGACTTGATTTTGCTGCCATGATTTTTCCAAGCACTTGGAAGTTTCAAATTATCTCAGGCTGTCCCCGTTTACTTTGAAGACAGAGAAAAGTGGGGCTTTTTGTCAGGTAAGAAGAGTCCTCACGGGATTTTCAGAAGTGATTTATGAGTATAAATCTCAACCTACCCACTCTTCTTAGGTAGTATGTTAATACGGCTGTAGTGCAACCTACTCAATAGAGTGTGTGACAAGTTCTCTGATAATAAACACAGTAATAAATGAAGTGTCATGTACATTAGCCATCAATCCCAAATGCTGTTTGTTCTGTAGCCTGTCAGGTTTTTGCCATGAGTCTATGTCCTGATAAAAAAAAAGGAAAATTTTTATTTTTTTTTAATGAGATGCTACCAGCTTCCAAACAATTTCTGCAGCTACCCCTGGATTTATCTGCACAGACACATTGAGGAGCAAAGGTCCAGGTGTAAACTCGCAGTGCTCCCTTCAGACACCCCATGGGAGCACCACTTTGAAGGGCGCTGACTCTCAGCTGTCTGGATGTGAGCAAATTCGGGTCAGTTGGCCCAGGACTGATCATGCCCTGAGGCAGATGCAGATGGTAGTGCACCAGCCTAGCAAGCAGTGTCTCCGTGTGCTCTACAGCAGCATGGACACCGGCGCTGTAACAGGCTGGGGTACAGATGGGTAGCAGATATTTTTATCCATGTTTTACTCCTTCACAGTATCTGCAGCCATCCCATATTGATGGAGACTTGGAGAAAAGAAAGGATGCGGTGTGGGGGGGTGCTGCGGTGGCAGAGCAAGTCTCAATGGACCTCTCCAGGGAACGAGCCCCAGAAAGGTCATATGTTTTACAGACCGGGGACGAGTCTGCCCATGGCTTTGGTAGCTGTGGATACCACATGTCTTTCTGGGCTTTTGAGTGACAGGAAAATGTCACCACATCAGATGGGATATGCAGAAAAGACTTGAACGAACTAAATTTGAAGGAAAAGAATTTAAATCTGTTCAGCTTGGCTAACCAACAGTCAAAAGAGAGAAAATAACAAGGTTTGAGCACTCAGAAAAGGTCCTGTGAGTGATCCAAAGAGCTATGAAGGTAGAGACATGAGGTGAACTTGAGCAGAAACAAATATTGCTCTGTCCATAAGGCTAAATGCCATACCAAGGAGATATATTGGTGGAGTAGTCTCCTGGGATGAATGGTGGGAATCCCACCCCTGAGGTGCCTTAATCCCTTGACCAAACTAGATACTCAACAGCTGGAGGATTCGGTGTAACCAACAGCCATTCCCATGGAGGTCTCCAGTCCCAGTGCAAAGCCACCACAGGAGGCCGGGGAAGTGTGATAAAACTGACTTGCAGACCAAATCCAAGCTCAGGGCCACTAAGTATTTGCTGCATGCCATCACTCTTTGCTTAGATAAGGTTGTGTTACTGTGAAATAGCACTTTGGTACCCAGCTAAGGAATGCCAGGATCACACCACCTGAAATTCAGGTTCCAGATTCCAGCACTGACACCAGCAATGCTGCTTTCATCAGAAATGGTGTAGAACAAGGAGGTGCCAGTAATCTGGGTACCTTCAAGATAGGGAGGATGTAGATGTAGATAATGTAGATGTAGGTTGGGGGTTAGGCAATATTGCACAGTGGCTTGTCTGAACGTGATGCGATGCCTCTAGCTACTGAACTACAGTTATGCCATGGTCTAGGTTCTGGATTTTGTCCCTTGTGATTAATTTCCAGATGTACTTGTTAAACAAGATTTGGGCATTACATAAAGAGCCACCAGTTTGCTTTGCAATAGACCCAGGGTAGTGGATTAGCCACCTTAGCCACCTTCTTTTTTTTTTGGTTGGTTAATTAAAGACTGCCCTAATGTTCTGAACTTAAATTGCTGTACCAAGAATGAAAAGAATTCAAATGATGCTGCATAGGAAGCTTGACTCTTTGGAGTCATTTAAATATCAGTAGACCATAGGTGTAAATGTGGGGCTTTGCTGAAACACTCTTTGAAAAATATACACAGGATGATGAGAAAAGTGAAATTAAGTGTCACTGCACTTCAGGAGGGTTTGCATTTTAATGAACAGAAAATCAATTTTGGATGCACTAGCTGGTCCATAGCTAAACCTGAGTTGATTTTGAACTTAAATGTAATGAAAACGTAAAGATAATGGGTTTCCTGGAACGGTATTTTCTGAGTTGCCTTATTCATGGGTAACTGCGGGTACCTGAGAGGATGCTTATAGAATCATAGAATCGTTTAGGTTGGAAAAGACCTTTAAGATGATCAAGTCCAACTGTTAACCTAACACTGCTTCTGGTGTAAGAGAGTATAGATGAGATCAGAAATAATCCCATTCTTTCAAAAAAATTTCAGAAAGATCATTTAGTTTCTCTGTTGTCATTAGAGTCCCAGTGGCAGTTTAATACCAACAGGGAACAGTGACATTTTGCTTGAAACTGGTAGGAACAAAAATCAGAGAAAATGTGAGGGAGCCCACACCAGCCTGGTCTCACTCCCAGGGGCTCATTGGGACGTAACAAGAGCACCACGTGCTCCATGGCCCCCGGTGTTCGTCACTCCCCAGCCCTCCTTTCCCCTGGGGCAATGATGAGCATGAAGAAGCGGGCCAGAAAATGTCCTCTCCATCCCTGCTTGTGCCAGGTTCCTGTGGGCGCGGGCATTTTGAACCCACGCCAGCGCTGTCTGTCCCCCTGGTTTGGTTGTATCTGAAGGGTTGTAAGGCAGCAAAGGAGTTAAAGGGCTTAAGCATTAATAAAAGTTAATTTTGAACTCTGAGAGCCTTTCAAGTGAAGCCAAAAGCACAAATATAAAAGATCCCAAGGCAACAGCCCTAGACTGGCAAATGCAGCGATTAGTGTGGGTGAAGTATCAATTATAGTGAGTGGTCAAGAGGTTTCCTTCTTATATTTGAGTGGAATTAGAAATTGCTACTGCCTCAAAGTGAAAGCAAGAGGCCCTTGCAACTCGGAGTGAAAAGGAGATGCAGTCAGCGGGAGTAAGCTGCTTTAAAACCCTTGGATTTTAACCTCCTGCCAATGACACTGTTTCCCTGGTCTCACAAAAACTCATCCCTGAAGTGTATTTCTCCTGTGCCATCCCGTGAAGCTTGCATGGCCCCCAGCCCAGGTCAGCTTTCTGCTGCATGGCTCCTCGGAGAGCAGGAGCAGCCTGTTCACCCAGCCTGGGAGCTGTCATAGAATCATAGAGCACTTTGGGTTGGAAGGGATATTTAGGGGTCATCTAACCCACCCCCCCTGCAGGGAGCAGGGACACTTTTAACTCGATCAGGTTGCTCAGAGCCCCATCCAACCTGGCCTTGAATGTTTCTAGGGTTGGGACCTCCACTACCTCTCGGGGCAACCCCTTCCAGTGTTTCACCACCCTCATTGTAAAGAATTTCTTCCTTATATCTAGTCTAAATCTACCCTGTTTTAGTTTAAAGGTGTTACCCCTTGTCCTGTGACAATCAGCCCTGCTAAAAAGACTGTTGGCTCCTTACACCCCTCTGCGTCCTCCACCCTGGGTGGGACAAACTGGTTGTTTTAACACCCGAGTGAGGCCAGGCTGTCATGCAAAGACCTCTGTTCAGATAACTGATGCTTCCTACCCATAACATGTGGCTGCTTATGAGGGCTGCCTGTGCCTGCGGTGGCCCTTGTCCCAGGGATTGGGCAAGTGAAGCGAAGATGACCCTGCTCCAAATGGCTCTGGGTGAAAGGGGGGCTATTTCTGACCATACTCTGTCCCCAGCCTTGTGTCCCCCTGTCAGCACACAGGCTGGCAGCAGTTCTGCTTTGCAGGAATTGCTCCCGGGGGAGTTGGTTCCCAGGCTGGCTGTGCTGCTCTTTACCAGGTGGTTTGCCCTGCAGATACTTCTTCTGGACTGTACGTAAGGTACCACTTGAAACAGGAGAAAAACACATGATGTTGCTTAGGTTGTCTGCTGCAGCCCATATTTAGGTACTTGGTGGTGTTTGTATTTGTTCGAATTTTACGCTGGTCTGCTATGATCCAAATACTGCAGCAGGCAGGTGCTGTCAGGTTGCAGTTACTATTGTGTGCTCCATCAGCACCCAAAATTGCCTAGGAAAGAGTTCTTTATATAACTGGCTTAGCTACGGGGCTGTTTAATGACAGAAAGTGATTGCTACCAGAATTCTCTTACCATTGCTGGCAATTTTAGATATGCACCGGTGGCAGGCTTTCTCCAGGCCGGCAGTCATTGTAAAGCGCCTTTTGAGGTGTCTGTAGAGATACAGAAATGAATACGGTCAGCAAAAGTGCCTTTAACTAAGCGTCTCGGGTCAGAGTCACTCACACACTTCAGCAGGCTTTCACTATCCCCCCCTAAAAACCTCAAAGCATCCACAAATCCAGACAGCAGCCATCAGAGTGTGGCATACCCAGCGTCGGGTATGCCTTCCAGCAGCTTTGGGCTTGGTGGTGCTCAGGCTTTGGGGTCATGGGAAGGCTGGGGAAGAAGTATTAATGCTGCCTCCCTGAAAACTGTAAAAGGACCTATCTTGATTTTGTGTGAGGTTGGCGCAGGACAAAGTGTATTCAACTGTTATGAGAAAACCCAGTGAAACTGGTAGGGTTCACTACACAAACCTCTGCAAAAATTATTTAGGGAGCAAAAGTGAATTAAATAAAGAAAAGGGGAGGAGAGAGGATGAAAACAGTTTTCAGATTGAGGAAGATTCTGAAGAGGAATATAGAATAAAAATGGCGAACGTCAGGGACCCCAGAACAAGATGCCTTTGATAAAAAAGTAGCTGTATTAGAAAGCAGCTCTTTGTAAAGAAGAATTTTTTTGAGGTGGGGTGAGGGATGAGCAAGCAGCTAGGCATTCAAAGCCTGGGCGTCAGACAGCACCAGACAGTTAAGTAGCATCCAGTGTCAATGGGAGTGTGTAAAGCTCACACACACTCACACACACACGCTCCAAGCCCTGGCCAAGGCCACCACGGGTCTACCACCAATACTGTGTGACAGACGAAGGTGTGTGTAGAGGAGGCCAGGAGGAAGGGAATCTGCATTTCTGCACATGCCTCAAATTAACCTCTTTAAATTTCCTAATGAGTAAAGAGCAGTGTTTTAAGCTTAGCCTCATTCTGTTCTAAGCTGTGAAACCCACCTCAGCAGGATTTCTCACCATGCAATGCAGATCCCAACCTGGCCCGGACCCTACCAGGGACCACAGGGCCCCAGACACGTTTTGCAGATAGATAGATGTGTACCACCCAGCTGATATGGGTGGGGACAATCTTTTTAGCAGGGCCGGGTGAGACAGGACAAGGAGTAACAGCTTTAAACTAAAACAGGGTAGATTTAGACTAGATATAAAGAAGAAATTCTTTGCAATGAGGGTGGTGAAACACTGGCAGGGGTTGCCCAGAGAGGTGGTGGAGGCCCCATCCCTGGAAACATTCAAGGCCAGGTTGGATGGAGCTCTGTGCAACTTGATCGAGTTAAAGGTGTCCCTGATCACTGCAGGGGGGTTGGGCTAGATGACCTCTAGGGGTCCCTTCCAACCCAAACCATTCTATGATTCTATGATATATGGCTATACCCCTGCTCCGTAGCATCTCCAAGCCCTACCAGACATGGCTGAACAGAGCTGTCTGTCTCCTGGGAGCCTGCTTTCTCCCGCAAGCCCAGAGACCCATGAGCTGCAGCAGCAGCACAGGACCCTCTGCTGCCGTGGGAAATGGGATGGGGTTGGCTCCTTGCACGTTGGCATTGCGGTTCCTATTTCCTGGCAGTGACAGCAGTGATAGGGGCGGGTCTGGCATTACCTGTTGGGGAGCAGCTGCTGTGGTTTCACCCGGCAGGCAGCTAAACCCCACACAGCCATTCACTCACTCCCCCCCCTCAGTGGGATGGGGGAGAGAATAAAAAAAAAAGGTAAAACTCATGGGTTGAGATAGAGGCAATTTAATAGGGCAGAAAAGAAAGGGAAAACAATAATAATGATAGAAGAATATACAAAGTGATGCACAATGCAGTTGCTCACCACTCGCTGACCGATACCCAGCCAGTTCCCGAGCAGCAGACCCTCAACCAGCTTTTCCCCTTGTTTATATGCTGAGCATGACGTCATATGGTCTGGAATATCCCTTGGGTCAGCTGGGGTCAGCTGTCCCAGCCATGTCCCCTCCCAACTTCTTGTGCACCCCCAGCCTGCTCGCTGGTGGGGTGGGGTGGGGTGAGAAGCAGAAAAGGCCTTGACTCTGTGTAAGCCCTGCTCAGTAATAACGAAAACATCCCTGCATTATCAACATTATTCTCAACCTAAATCCAAACCACAGCACTATACCAGCTACTAGAAAGAAAATTAACTCTATCCCAGCCAAAACCAGGACAGCAGCCAAGCAAGCAGCAGGGACTGAGGCTTTCCTGGCCATCCCATAGGGTCAGTAACCCATGCCGAGACACCTGTGTGTAGCAGTTGGCCACCAAGGTACATACCCAGGTTTCTAGTGTGCATCATCACATCAGGTGTCTCATGGATTTTAGCTCTCCTTCTCCAGCCCTTATCTTCATACTACGCCACAAGCCTCATTTGATGGGCGTTACTGCTATAATAAGCCTTGCAAATCCCAATGGACACCTCCATCAATACTGAACGATGGACTGGAATGGAGATTACATATGAGTGCCTGACTTCTGGGAAGTGGATACTCCTCATCTCAGCCACCAAACGTTCTTCAGAAGAGCAAATACTCTGCCTTTGGCTTGCAACTATTGACAAATATATTAAGGAAGGAAATGAGCGCTGTTGCATGCTCAGGGAAAATAGGAAGGAGGAAGGGAAACTGGTAGTTTCCAAAACCAAATGACACATTAATTTTAAACTTTAAAAATTTTGGTGCCGATTCATTCCTAGAAAGTGCACAGACAAGCGTTCATTTTGAATACGCTGTTGGCTGCTGACAAATATATTTTAAATTAGGCAGAGAATTGTTATCAGTAATATTAGTCTTTATATAAATGTTTATGACTAGAATTACTTTTATAGCAGTAAGTCTTACAGAAACCATGTCAACAGAACCAATGACATATTAAAAATTGGTTGAATACCAAATTATCTTGAGCAGAATTGCGTGTGGCTGGGAATGTTGTATTTCCGTGAGCAGAGGGTAAAACATATGTTTTGTCTAAATTTACTGCTATTTTACACTAAAGGAAAAAAGTGAAGATTAACTGAAGGAGGACTTGGTATCTGGGAGCATGCCACCATCTAGTGATGGAGCCCAGAAATGACTGTGAATCAGAGGTCTTTGCCTGCAGTTTTAGCAGGTGAGATAAAGAAGGCAAATGTATGATGGCTGCACACAAAACACGTTCACGCAAGGACACAACACACACCACCACCAGGTGATGGTTGCAGTCCTTCCTCAGACATTGGCTTTGACTCCCACAGGACTGACAAATCCCTCAGAGAAGTCATTGTGTTTGCTGGATAAATAAGTGTTGCCCCTGTCCCCCCAGCCCTTCAGTGATTCTGCAGAAGCTGCTGTGGGTGTTAAAGATGAATATTTTCCTGTGTGCCAATGCATGAGGGTGCTAAAGTGAAACTCAGCAGCCAGAAATGGGGGACTGATCACTGAAACTCACAGGAACCTGCAAGTGGTGCAGCATGAAGACTGGTGGCATGCAAAGACAGGGTGGATGTCCTGCCACACAGTGCCCGCTCCCGGTTTGCTGCTGAGTTGGGGAAGTCACATGCAAAATGGAAAACTCAGAATACAACAGAAAAAAAAGTTAGAGACCAAAGCCAGCCTCTGGACCTCTTCCCCTCCACTGGGGTCATTTCCCCAAGGTGAAGGGACCTACTTTTGTGTTCCCAAGGGCCAGCAAGGGGGGCGAAAAGTTTCTGAGCCCCTTGCAGGTGGCTAGGACTTCTCCACACAGCTGTTTTTTGGGGCAACCGGTTGCAACCCAGCCACAGCAGAGCCACAGCACCCCTGTGCCTCCCCCAGCCTGTCCAGCACTTCCCCGTTCAGTGCCCTCTCTGCTGGTGGCCGGTGGCCAGATTTGCCCCAGAATGCTGGCTGCTGCCTGCCTGGTGCTCGCGCTGTGTCCCACATTGCTGCCTTCTGTTGTAACTTGGTTCCTTGTCTCTGACAAGCAGCCGTGACAAGCCTCTGTTGCACAGACCCTTCATCCCAGTCCCTTTGTTATTTCAGCCAGTTTTAGGTTTGAACTAATTTTCTGGTCATTATTCTCACCCTAAATGTTTAGCTTACACAAGTCAAAAGAAGAGAAGCACTGACCAACTGGCGCACCCCTGACCAATGGCAAAGCCTAAGGGCAGCTTCATGCTGTCCCCTCCATATGTCAGCCCAAACAAGAGCCACCTCCACGCTTGTCCTACGGCATTCAGCCTTCTCAAATTGAGCTCTGCCCTCTCCCAGCTTCAGGTGCCCCACACTGCACTAATGAACACAGCAGGCAGAGTTGCTGGGGCTTCTTAAGACCCTACTTCCCACTCAGTGAGGGGTCCTGCTGGGACACGTTAGGTGCACATGGGCCAGCAAGCCCCTCCAGAACAAGGTCTCTTCTCTAAAGACTGCTAGAGGGAATGGTTTCTTTTTTTTTTTCCTAAAAAAAAAGTCAGAGCAAAGTCCTCTTCCAGAGCCGATTTCTTCCTGACAAACCACAAAGCCCCACACTGGCTTTTATCCCAGCACATCATCCCCTTCCCAGCAAATCCTTCTTACCTGAGAGTGCAGCGGATGCCGAATCCGTTCACTTGGGTGCGTGGGAGACCGAACAGAGGAACTGCAAAATCCAGCCTTCGATGGAAGCCAGCTGGGAGAGTCCTCTCCGGTGGGACCCCAGAGCTGGCTCCCTGGGACCCTGCCCGCAAATGGGGAGGCACAGGGGAGGCTCAGGTTCTGTTTTTCCTTCTCCGCTCACACACCTCTCAGCGGCAGCACGATGGGAGCTGTGGGATGCAGGAGCACTTGCCGGCAGAGCCCATCCTCATTAGTTTCCCCACTC